TTGCCCCTACAATGTTGCTACTGGGAATCAATTTCCTGTTGGGTGGATACGAGCAAGCATTAAAATCATTGGTCGAGCCTTAATTTGGGTTGACAGCCTTGAAAACCTCTGCCAATCTATTTAATTTATTTAGCAACTTCATATTTGTGCTACCCTCATTAAGAAGCAACGTTACTATCTATATTAAGTCACGGGAAGTCAGACATTCTCATTGCCCTGCGAAACTTCAGAATGGAGTGGAACATGTTAAAAACTACTTGTGCCCATTCCCAATAAAAGAACAACTTGGTTAATGACTCCTATAAGCTGTCTTAATTTCACACCCCTTTGCGAAATGAAGTTGTTACATTAGAGACGACAAATCAGACGAGACTTAAAACCAATTTTTAGTGTCTACATGTAACAAGATGAAAAATTTGTTCTTCCGTTTCCTTATATTTAATTTTTTCCCAGCTGCCAAAATTGAAACATTTTCCAAATGACTTCCTTCCATACCTCTTCAGTTCATCGTAAGATGTTGAGATCCTTCTCTAACCAATCTATTACAGTGCCAAAATCTTAATTAGATTACCTCATGTCTTCTACATGCGCGCTGTTACCCAATGATATCCGAGAATCAATCTTCAATTTAACTTACATAAGGTAAAATATAAGTTTAAGCTCTCCAGCATAAAAGAGAAAGCGATGCAGACAGAAAGCTGCTAATAAAATTATATGTGCAATCAGGCATCGGCCGAAAGATAGATTTTACGGGCTGGTACCAGGATAGTGCATAAGGAATAAAGGCCCCATGATGGAGAGGGGGTCATAAATAGAACGGGTGTGTAATCCAAAGTTACGAAGAAACAAATCACCTCGGATTGGTGCATTTTATCCAAACGAGGTAATAAGAATTTTTGTATGATGTATTCAGACCTTGTAATATGCACAGCATCTGAATTTGTTTATGAACTATATTAAAACGAAGAAAAAATTGCAAGAAATTTTCTGCATTTTATTACCATCAAAAAGGGAGGACCCTCTTCAGTTTAATAGCAAACTCTAACAGCTTCATCACTGTAACTGCCACTATGTGGAAGCCCTGGTTGAAAAGTATGTAGGGATGAACAAAGGAATTTAAAAAAGACAGAAGACGTGAATACTTTAGGGATTTTAACATGAACGATAAAAATACATAATAAAAAACTTACGCGTTGTTGCTGTTGCTGTTGGTGTGGCATTCTTTGTACGTATGGGTTGTACTCATAAAGAGGCCTTGCAAAACCAGTTCGCTCTCTAAGGGGCATCGTGTGGGTTGGAATTTGGAGCTAAAACCAGGCATACGAGCATCAAAACATGGAAATGATCTTTCGTAAAACAAATTTTGCTATTTATACTCATATTTGGCTAATGATAGCAGCAGAGTAATTTAGGGGACATTACGCGAGGTAAGACAGTGGACTGTTTGCCGCTCTTGTCATCAGTTGGGCCATTAATCAGAATAGCGTTAAATGTTGTATTGTATTGTAACTACAATATGCGAGTTTATATTGTAATCAATTGAAGACAATAAGAAAATGCAGGGGAGTAGAGAGTCCCGCCTTTCATGTCAAATGCCCCCAGCAAGAGCTAAGAGCAAGAATATCGACCAAATATCAAAGCATTGAAGACAAATCAATGTAACATTTCAAGTTTTTTCTAATACTGATGCTTCGGCTGCACTATTCCTGTGCAAAGAACACTGGATGACACCCTCTTTTCTAGAAACGCTTCCTCCGCAAGGAGGAAATTGGATTACGGGACTCCAAGCAAATTGAGAATATCTTGGGATTGTTGGTTAAAAACGTCGATTTGAATGGAAGAGAGTGTTTGAATGCAGCACAATGGACTTCAAAGTCAATAATGTACTGGTTTTGCATAATCATTTTCCATGTATCAATGCGTAGGGTGGGGTATTTCAGGCAATGGGCGTGGCTAATTACTTATTTGCAGGAACATTTGCCAGGAGAACACACCAATGTGATGCGATGAGAAGCAGAGAAATGAGAAACTTTATGGGGGGAAGAGCTGCTTCCCTGTTAGGGTTAACCAACAAGAAACTTTGGGCATGTATGCCAGTCGCCCCCTGTTTGTACTCTTGCCTATTGCAAATCAGTTGTTGTCCATCAAGGGCGTTAGCTATGAGAAATTTTGATTCTTTGTTTTTTGCTGGTAGTTGCATGGGGTCTAAAAGTTTCTATACCAGAAAAACCCAGAGTCACTACAAGACACAAACTAACCCAGAGTCACAAACTAACCCAGAGTCACAAACTAACCCAGAGTCACCTATGCCAGGGCGACACAGACATAAATTATATCAATTTGCCCGCAGTTTTATGAAGAAATATATATAACTTTTCTACATCATTCACTAAAGGCAAGATCAAGAATTGACAAGATTTATCTATCAAATTAAATTAATGTCACGTTCTAATACGCAATATCACGGTGGAATATGGGTAGGGCAGCCTAAAATTATACAAAAACACGCATGTAGAGAATTTCGAATACTTCTGTCAAAGAAAGGTTTTTCCATTGCACCCTTAGATTTTTAGTTCCTTAGAACGTTATTGGCATTCTTTGAAAATCAATAAAAAATAGGACGAGTTCGTAGCATTCCCACCCAGCAACCAGGGAACGTGGGTGTTTAGATCGATCCATCTATAAAATATTTCCATGCGAATATATTATAACGAAGTTGCCATTAAAAACTATCAATTTCTGATATTATTAATATATATTCGTTTGATCAGAAAGATGTGTGTTGCTGTTACTTCATATTGTATTAGTTAACAAAACCATTTTGAAAAGAAAACACAAACAGGAAATCACATATATTTATTGAAAGACAATTACGATAATGAATAGATTTGAAGAGGTTAATGCTATATTTTCGGTTATCAATTTGCGTTTATTCAAATATTAAGGGAAGCAATTTTCTTTAATGTCATATCTCCGGACAAATTCTTGATCCAGGTAGTCTGAAATCATAGCCCTGAGTCATCGAAAAAGCTGAATATCCCAGAACATACAAATTGCACTTTTTTCACTTTTTGAGGATTCCCCAATTGTTAGGGTTGTAGATTACTGATTCAAGGGTCCTGGGTTCGAGTCCCTCCTATGGGCAAACGTTAACTTAGAAAGACTAGGGTCACCAGCTTCTGTAATTCCAGGCATAGAAATAATAATAATAATAATTATTATTATTATTATCATTAACAATTTCTTTAACGTTGGCAAGAAAGAACAAAAAAATACATATAGCTAATAAGCTAATGGGGTGTGGTGAAGTCGAGAGGAAGGTCCAGGACACTGTTCAGTGTCCTAAAACTGCCTTCGGAAGCTAGTTAGTAACAAACACATATACATAAAAACATGAAGAATACTTGTGGATGAGAAGTCTCGGTTATACTAACAAACATAACATTGCAATTGAACGGCATGCACTTAGAACACTTTCTGCGTCGCCAGAATGTATTTTACATATGCAATTCAGGGAATGGGAAAGCGGGGGTGAGGGGACTTGGTCATTCTCTAATGATTGCAAAAATGTACTTAAAACCATTAAAAAAATCGTATTGCAAGTGGTCTTTAGCCACACCCCCCCCCCAACTGTTTAGCCCCTCGATCTGTAAAGTGCTAGGCGGTCTACGCAGTCTACGCGGTAGAGTTGTGAATCTTTGCTGTTATTATATGTGAAGACTTTCCTGATATGCATTAAAACATGATGTCTACATTTGATTTGTGACACTAGAGAGTATCAAAAATTAACTGGATGTATCGACAAATATTGGTTGTTAAACCCCCCACCCCACACAGTCAACACCCTAGCCAACTTCATCCAAGTAAAAAAGAATCGAAAGTAGAAATAGGCAGACAAACGAAGAAGCGACGATGAAGTTGAGTTGCAACACACAGAAGTGGTTGGGTAACATGAGGTAAAAATGGGTAGTAAGCTTCTACCCTTGGTCTCTCTCTCTCCTACCCTGGGTGCCAGAGTCTCAATGTCTCTGCAATTAAGTTCGAAGCTAGTCACATAAATATTCATTTGACTGCAATCGCATCTATAACACTTTATCCTGAACCCAGGTTTTTCGAAGTCCTGGTACCCAGTGTGGAACTCTCCCTGTCAATTTAATTGTTAGTCTAAAACTGTATACTGATTAATTAGTAGGGATTTTAATAATCAAATATTTGACAGTTGAGAGCATTGATTAGAAAGCATGCTCGTGTCTGAAATTATTGTAGGTATTGTTAAAAATTATTAGCAGAAACTTTTTAAAAAAATATGTAATTTTCTAAGTGTTTCAAAAGAAATGACTGCAAATAATTTCCGGACCCCCAAACTTGTATACTTTAGAATAATATTGATTATTGAGTAATATCGCATAATAGAAGTACTTAAATCAAATGAAGAACTTAGATTATCGAATTGCCTAAAATAATTATTGTTACCCGTAGATACTCTTGTATCGACGCAAAAAACGATACCAGGCAGTGCACAGACATACCTAAATTGTACATGAATTTGTGCAGGTATGAAATAACAAACCCTCTGCTTAAAATACCTAGTGACTATTGTGTGGGGAGTGGAAATAAAATCCCGTTATTTGGGTATCACTTCAATGTCTGTTGTTTGGTCATATACACTTTTATAGCATTGTTGCAGCTCAACAAGACGTATGGCCGCAACATTACAACGAGGCTTTTCAAATACTTTAAAAAGGTCTTTTGAAAAAGGTTTGGTATACTGGATAAAGAGCTTTCGATTGAAGTTTTTCTAAGTACATTTGCAGAGTTGCTGAACTTCTTCAGGTAATGGAACAAAATATTAAGTGACTGTTTCGCCTTTCTAAGCAGAATAAGACGTTATAATTGCATAACTTCTATAAGTGTAAAGAAGTTGGGATTCTGGTAGCCTCTCCAACCATGATCGCTCATCACCACCCCCCCCCCTCGCCCCCTCCGCAGGTCTGGTTTTGATGTGTCTGCTAAAATAATACCTACGCTCCGACTTCAATATGCCGGTGGAACTGTAGATGGTGCATTGTACAAGCATGCTATTGTGCAAATGTTTAAGAATTTATCCCAGCAGTTATGTCCAGAAGTGTAATATGTACAGTTTTTGAATTGCTTGTGTTGAAAACAGCCGAGTAAACACCTTCATCTGGATTAATATTTTAGTGTCATTTACTAAACAAACCTAAACGGAATATAATTGCATAGGTCTTTGTGTAAGAGGTACTACACAGATGAGAAACGAGGGACTAATTATTGGCAGCTGTAGCAAGAAATGGATTATACAAGGCTCAAGGTGGTTCGGAAACAAGGGAGACATACATCTCGTATATAAGCAGGTAGTTTGGTAACAAGGGAGACATATATGTCTGATTGAAAAACCTTAAGTTTACAATATTAGGGAGAAAGGGTTGCTACAAAAAGAGGACCAGTTATCATTTGGTAGATTTTACCATCTTTTAGCGGGAGGCAAAATTTTCCTTCCCTGGTTAAGACAATTCTGACAAAGTATTCATTCGGTAGGGAGAGAGCTCCCTGAGGGGGGGAATTTAGGCCCCTTTTCCCCTTTCTAGAGATACCCCTGCTAAGGGGACGTAAACTTTTGGAACTTATTGGGGTGCCTTCTAACCTTGACAGCACATAATTACACAACTAGGCAAATTTAGGGGGAGGGTTCATTTATAAGGAAGGGGGCAATCGTCCCTTCTTATGTTTCAATTTGATGCTTTCCACAAGAAAGACAGAAAAAAAGACAAAACTACGATTCTTCCAGGACATGAGCAGAAATCCTGGAATTCAGAGCAAAACAAATGAATTTTTGATGTTTTTCCGGCAGTAAGGAGGTAATGCAATGGCCTTCTGTGCAACGGAGCTTCTGGGAGTGAGAGATCTCATACATCAGTAAAAATTTTATAAAAGATCCAAGACTGAGATTAGGCCAGAGCAAGTAAACCCCGCTTTATTATCATACCTTTTACAGAAACATGACAAAAAAACCTTCTGTATGGCGTTACTGCCCTTGTAGCAAACCAACACCATGGATACATGGGAAGCTACAGAGGGGTGTAACCCATTTGCTGTCATGGTTTCAATTTTCATGAAAACCTCACAATTGCGAAGAGCCTATCAATTGTTCATCTGAAAGAGCAGGTGTAGACCTGATATTGGGTCAAGCTGAATCAGCGCTCATTGCAAACAGTAGGCAGCGTATTAAAACCACTTAAATCGTGTTGTATCGATAAAAAGTAGATGTTTTATGTACAAAGAAACCGTTCCTTTAAATGGGTCCACTATAAGTCTTCTTCATACCGTACTAGCTGGGGCTAAGTTCGGGAATAAAATTCTTCAATAAGCATTTATCGTTACTACTAACAAAGGATTAGGCTAACACGCAAATAGCAGTCCGTAGGTGTTTCTTTAAATTAGGTTTCAAAGGGGTTGTAAATAATACAAGATTTGTACCTTGAGCTTATGGGGAGTTTCTCTACGGTTATATCAGCCTAGGTAAAAAAACCTTTTCCTAAATCGTTCTTGTACGTATGTCTGCTCGATACACCTTATTCCTGTATACTATAAAATATGAATATTAGATATGAACAAACAAATAAACGCGGTGCAATACCTTTGAAAGTGAGCTGTCACCTCTGATGTTAGAAATCAGTTAGATACGTTGAAAATTGTGTGACATATGGCCGATAAAAGTTCTGAAGTTTGAAGTATTACTGTTGTTTTAGCATGGCTCAGAAAATTATGGACAGAGACCAATTTACCGTGATTTGATGGGAAAGTGCCTGTGCTCACATGGTCATATTTCAGCTAAATTGTAACACATCTAACTGATTTTGAATATTTAGATGTATTCCATGATGAGTCTGAATATAAATCATAAAATCGTCACTTAAGACCTCTATTTCGTCTACTCGATACTCGCTTGATGGCACAAAAGCATTTGCAGTTGATTACATATCCCACAAAAACCCCTTTTTTAAATTACAATCAAGCCACAGCACGTGCCATAGAATATTTAATCGTGTGCCGTTATTTCTTTAAGATTATCGGAATTGGAGGTGTCAAAAGGAAAATCAAAGCATAATTGTAACTTTGCAAATACTATTAGGCAGGTATCAGCTCACCCAGTCAGTCACAGGACATAACTAGACAATTGCACCATTAATGAACTTGGCAAATGAGCTTTTCATGCCCTGGATACCTCCAAACCATAAAACATAGAAATATAAATATTTCTTAATATAAAAAATTCAAACTTCTCTTATAAACTCCTCCCATATATCGACATTTAAATAAAAGTAGCCCGATATATGTTGGCAGGCTTATTCTTTTCTGAAAGGGTTCAGCTATAAAAATCAGAATTGGATATTTTTATTGCTTTTACTTTCATGGTCAAAGATACAGCCCACAGGAATGTAGCATTCAAACCAAACTGGTAATTTAAATTCAAATATGGAAGGTTAAATTGCAAAAGAACAGTGAATAGAATTCGCGCGCCATTTGTTCCAATTAAACCTCTTTTGTCCTGCTATGATAATTAATTAGCTATTTTGATAAGAGAAGTTACACATATCAAACAAAACGCCCCCAAAACAACTGAAATTTTATTGCCATCTTCAGAACTATGTTATATTTGAAGCAAAGCTATTGTGCTGGGTAATTGACAAGGGCTGTAAAGGCACACGAAATTCTTGATTTTGCAAACATTGATTTCGAAGTTTATAGGCTTAATGCCAAGAAAAATGAAGTAACAACTTGAAATAATGCTTCGTGATAGAAGTAAGTTTAAACATAGGCCAAGCTTTAGATGTGAAGAAATAAGTTAGATATAGAAAATCATTTGACCTTGCGTGACCGGCATGAAAAGCGCAAGCCGGTCGCTAGATATTGTGCTCAAGGGAGGTGCCCATTTAAAATATGTCTAGAACACCCCTAGATGGCAATAATTTTTTAAATGGAATCTTTATCGAAGGGGGTGTCACAAACCCCATGCCCTAAAAAGCTCCTGCCTTGGTGAAATTTCAGGCTTGTTTTAGGGCCTGGGAAACACTCTTATAAGTTAAAAAGATAAAAAGATGCTGCTTTAATTATAAAATGATGGACTAAAGACAACATAGAAAAGGGCAGACTTGCAAGTGATGTTCGGGTGCAATCGCAACAAGGTACCACGTTTCTATTGGCAGTAATACCCCTCAGAAAGTGGTACATGCGACCTATTATCAAAAATCAAGTTGTCGTCTAAAGCGGTCTAAAGCGCTACATACATATCTGTCATATATAGTTTTGCTAATCATGCTGTGTCCAAGTTACATGGCATATAACAATTTCATTACAATGACAAAGGGAAACTGAATCTATCTGGCTAAAATTACTCCGGGATGAGTATCGCTCGATTATGACGAACTGAAACGTGAATATACGTCTACAGGTTCACGTTCTTGATTTTTCCAAACTACGAGGAGACGATGCGAGCCCTAAGAAGGCCTTGCCTCCGGCGGGATTCAAAACAACACAATAGAAAATTTATTGTCTTTATCTATCAGTTTCGTTTGCTGCCCTTATCTGCTGTCCATCTGCTAACGTAAGGTCAATACAAAGCTGCCGAAGATCCCTTCAGATTTAAAAATGTTTTCGAAATTCATTGTGGTTTAGAATAAACCATTTCAAATGCTCTCTATCGTAAATTTAGGAACCATTGAACACAAAGCAATGTAGTTTTTGCGACAAAAATAAGGAATTTTGAGTCTATTGTACTTAGAGAAACAAAATGGATATAAAATGTTTCGCTTTCCATTCGATTCCTCTCTGAAGGTCAGAGGTGACAGGAAGGTGAGAGGTCAAAATAGAACCTATCACGTTGAAGTTTTTCTTGCGGGTTTGTTTTAGTTAAGTTTGATTTTGAGCTCGTTATTTTCATATTCAGTGGGCCTGTTACTTGTTAAGAATTTTAAAACGTCTAAAGTGAATGTTTATGCAATGAACCATTGAACACAAAGCAATGTAGTTTTGCGATAAAAATACGGAATTTTGAGTCTATTGTACTTAGAGAAACCAAATGTACATAAAATGTTTCGCTTTCCATTCGATTCCTCTCTGAAGGTCAGAGGTGCGAGGTCAAAAGTGAGAGGTCAAAAGTGAGAGGTTAAGTTTAATTTTGAGCTCGTTATTTTCATATTCGACGTGCCTGTTCTTAATTATAGAATGTGCAAAACTCTTTAAGAGTTTTTTATTAAGTATACTGAAAATGATATAAAAATATTAAACTAATCCTCTTTCACACACACTAATTATTCATACCGATAGTGTATTCATACATTGTATTCATACAGTGTATTTCATCCAGCGAGCTTTGCGACTACTAGCAACTGACTACCCTGGGTGCAGAGTCTCCATAATCTGGTCTCAGAAAGAAAGTTCAATCGAGTCACAGAAAAATTTCTTAAGAACATGAGAAGTTTTACAAATTTCTTGATATCTTCAATTTATTGACATCTCTCATGTTTTCTCATAGATGACCTTTGACATTTTGACCCTTTTAATATTGTGTCACGCTGCTTGGTGTTATCTACATGAAAAAATAAGGGCCATACCTGATCCAAGTATGAAAAGTGTCTGAGCCTCTGCATTTGTTTGGGTTCAAATCTATGATTCATCTTCGAGAATATCATCGTAAGGCCAAAGAAGTACTTAACAGGTAAAAGTCACCTAGAATAAACAAAAAACGCTGAAACCTCATAACTAGAAAATAATGCACTAAGAATTTTTCAAAAAGTATTACTCTTTATGAAAAGGCAGAAACATCTTATATTAACGAACTGTCAACGAAAGTCAATAAGGAATTTGTAACAAAATTAATTTTTTTCAAATATTTCTTAATATTCTTTCATTAAAATGCAACACATTATCGCGAATGCGCGATATCGCGAATGTAAGAATGATGCAACAATTTGTGTTGGTTGCATACACGCTCCTGGGATTTTAGGATATCTTAAGCACATGGTAAAACCTTCCGATAATGCTATCTAGTTGTGTCGTGTTGTATTACTATCAAATATAAAAAATAAAAATTAATCAAAAATTTTGGATAAAATCACATGTACTCTATGAATGTTATCATCCTTTAGAATTTTAAAGATTCTAACAAAAACTTTGATAAAAACTGTAAAACTTACGTTGCTTTTTCAATTTGGTTTTTCCAAGACCAATTTCTAGAAAAAAGGAATCTTTGTCAAGAATATCCAAATATGAGAAATATCCAACAACAGAGTCTTTTATAACGAATTGCAGCAAATAAAAGACATTGTGTTATTGACATTAGAAGACTAGCACGCCTTGAACACGTTAATATTATCTGCTTCGTTCCCAGATCTAATGAATAGCTAGCCTAGACTTAAACAAATTAATGCCAATTAGACAGTATACGATAAACTTTCATGTGTACTCATACGGTGCATGCCAGAACACAGACGATTTACTTACGCACTGCCTGAAATGCTGTACCTCGTGCGTTCTAGCTCTTCTTGGGCAAATTATGCCTGGCACAGGGGGAACAAAAGTCCACTTTTTGCCACCCGTCACATATGAAAGCTATATCACTAGCATACTTAACATACAGGCTGAAATGGCTTATAATCATTTGCAACATCCCCCTGTCTTCTGTCACATCAGCCCGTGTACCTGCACTGTGTGGTTTTATTTGAACAACCGCCGTAAATTCTAATTTGGTCCGTCAAATTAAAAGGGCAGCACCGTATTTGCTGCAGTACGGTCTTGTTAAATCACTGCATAAAAAATCACAGCGCAGATCTTTTAAAATCGACTCTGCCTTAAGATAGTTGCAACCTCGTTTGCATATAAATACAAATGAGCATTCAATTCGAGGTGCCCGTGGCAATTATCTTTTAAATATTCTAACACGCGAATGAATAATACGTTTAGATAATTTTTATATCGGTCAAAGGCTCCAGAAGATAAGAGTGGTTGAAGAACAGTTGGCTGAGACGTGGGTTGTTAGTTAGGATGAGACTCATGTCTATGATTTTTGAAAAGCCGAAATGGGGAGAAAGATGGGCTCCGGGAAATCGCTGTTCACATATTAAGGGGGGGGGTTAGAGTCACTGAATATCAAAACTTTGGTTTGATAGGGTATCTAACAAATAATACCCAGCTACGAATGGATTTATTTTTCTTATTTAGATGATATATTTTATTCCTGAGTGCAAAATATACCATACATAAAATATATAGCAGGATACACGTTATCGTTTCATATGGTTTAACTTAACTTAACATTAACTCCTTTTCACCCCTTCAGTATACAGGAGGAGGCCAAGGCCCCCCGATTTTAAGCTAGATACTTTTTCAGTAATTCCTCACCAAATTTTCTTACTTTAGGCCGCTAATAAAGAATTACGTTCAACTGTCAACTGCAGTATAATTTCGTTGTCTTTGGTATCCACATAAAAAAGTGAGGAGAGGTTGGAAAATGGTTGAAAAATGGTTGAAAAATGGTTGAAAAATGGTTGAAAAATGGTTTGAGAAACAACTCCTCATAATATTGAAATACTTGTTAGATGTGGCGTTGTTCTGGCCTTGCTTGTAAATCTGCCTTTAATTCTAGATCCAAAGTTTTGGACAAAACTGATTTCTTTTATTATTCCGGACTGGGGAACGCCAAATATTTAAGAATAGAATTGCATGAAACATTAAAAATATTCGCATCAAGCTTGAAACTCGGAGTGCCACTAACAACGATCTTGTCCTGCACGTAAAATATGAAGTATTTGGAAAAAAACAGAAAGATGAAGAAATCGGAAAAAAGAAATTCATTGCCACTTCCAACCTTTTGTAATTTCAGGAGGTTATTTTGCTAATTTTATGTTACTTCTAAAACAATTGCGTGGGACCCGGAATGAAAAGGCTTTCTACCCATAAGAAAGTCGATATCATTGTTCCATATGAACTTCCTGGGGAAATTTCTGGAAAGAAATTTTTTGCAAGGAAATGTACAAAATGCTAGCTTTTTCAAGTATTATAATGTCAGGAATCAGGACCATTTTGCTTGCCTGCACAAGTCAATAACTGAAGCAACTTTTGCAGCATATGAAACCTGCAATAGCTTCGTATTCCCAAGAAGAACAAGCGAGCAATTTGTTATAGACCGTGTCTTGTGGCGAAATCAGAACTTCCAAAACTTGAACACTAAGAAATCTATATTTATCACAGACAGTAATGGAACAAGACAAGACACATGAGAGAGACCGAAGATGATCAAACATCTTGGAACTAAATTTGCAAGCTACTTGCAACAGTACAATTTTGTCAGACAGAGGAAGTTTTAATTAAAACAAATCTCAATTTCCGTTACTAGCCTGATAGAGTGAAAACTTTTATAAAACGAATTTGAAATTTTATAAACCTTTGAATAAATGAGAGTTTTAAAGAAACATTGCCAATGGCCTGTTAACCTTCAAACAAAAAAAGGTTCGTAAAGCAGTGGTTTTGTTATTTAAGTCATACTTTCACTCAGAAGTAAAGACCTCTAGAAACTCACGAGAGTTGGTATGTAAAAGATACTTTGAAACCATAGAAAAAACTTTCTCGGTTTTATAAACGTACTCTCATCCAAAAATTGCATCCCTCCGTTAGCCATGGCCGTATATATGACGGGGGAAAAAGTTAACTTAAGACATGATCCAATCAATTTGTCCGAATTATATCGTGACTCATAACGGGGTTTATTTTCTCATCAAGGAACTTTCCATAATCTACAGGTAATAAAATTCCAAAGTAGCGGGTGATGTCAACCGAAAGCCTTAAAAAGATGTAGCACCAGCAACCAGTGGACAAAAGAGACTACAACAATACCCGTTTTGTTTGAGGTTCCTTGTTACCCAAGAAATATCTCACGAAAAATATGGCACTTGCTGGTACCTGTTATCTTAATCCTGGTTAAGAAGGATACAGAACGCCATTACTCAATTATTTCTGATAAATCAAGGCACGCGAAATTGATTTGGTACCAGCTCGACACTGTCAAGATTCCATTTAAAGCTTAGTTTTATAAGATACCAGTAAAGTATTATCTCACTGGAAATTTCTTGTAAACAAAGGTTTTCTGTGTTGGCCAGAAGTTGCTTTCAAACGCAGCATAAAATCTAACGATTTAGCGATTTAGCTATTTTGACAGTCAGTGTAATTATACAGAGACGCAAAAGCCCTAAAAGCCTACAAATCTGATTTATAGGAAGGTTTTTGCCAACATGAGGAAGGGTTCATTGACAAAAAAAATTGTGTTCTTGTTCTTTCAAGTGTGGAAAATTAATCACAAATAAATACCTAGAGCCATTAATAATCAATTCAACTTCAACGGCATGTTGAGGTTATGATGATAAATTAATCAATGAAAATCAGGCATGAAAGAAAACCTATGAAGAGATTGTGACGTATGTCAGGAAACTTTAGATTTGAAAATTTGATAAGAGCTCTAATTATCTGCTAAATCAGAAAAATGACACAAGGAATTCCCTTAATACGTGTTTTTGCCTGGTACGGGCTTTTGCTAGGCTGTTTATTCAGCGATTTTATATTGTCCCAAAAGTAGGAAGGGCAAGGTTTGATGCAACTTTGTAAGTATGATTATTATGATTTCAATGACGACTGTGCTGATGACATCAATTTGGTGACGGTCTAACAAGAATATATCAGTTAATTATCAGTTTCATTGGTCGTCCATTTACAAATACACCTAGAATGTCTCCATGACTGCCTGGACTGGCAAATTATCCATTATCAACAACCCAAAGCTGATCACACGCAATGAGAAGCTTGTTTATAAGAAACAGAAAATCACAAGAACACTTATGCTAACTCAATTCTATAATCTGAAAACAGAGGATTCTAAAACCCAAACATAGAGACGTTCAGCATCATCCCATTACGTAGCAACGACTCGTGAGGGTCCTTCACTCTTATCAGTACTTATTCAAGGGAGTGGCTAAATTAAATTGAAGTGGAGTTTAATCGATCAACAATAAAACCGAGGCTGTGTTTAAGAGGCACTTATCTTTGAGAAGGCAGCTGAAATTATTAAGCTGTCAAAACTAGGATTTCAAAATCAGTCAGAAATCAACAGGTCAAAGAATTTAGAAATGTTTTCATGTGGATAAGAAAGTATGGAAAAGCTTCAAGCAGATGGACGATTTCGAACAACAGCCTACAAAAGCTCTAGAAAGAAAAACTGACTGAAACAATAGTTCTGTGACAAGTTAAGGTTGAAATATCTGTCATCTTGATGGTATATTAAAACAAATCCCCAAGGCTGAGGATATTTTAGAAAGAATGTAGAAACTTCAAGGGAAGTTGTGTCAGCCATCTTAGAGTGCAAAATAAAACAACATAAGATAATTAAGCAAACAGATATTATAGACTGCCACCTTCGCAAAGAAGATTAAAATTTATGAAAGGTATAAATCAAATTTAAAAAAAATGACATGAAATTATATTCGTAGTTAAGAACATTCGAAATTTAGCTTAACAAGATAAATTTACTTATGTAATTTATAAAATACTTAACTGATCTGCCCTCTATCATAATGGGGTGAGTCATAAAATGGCAGAAGTACACCCATAAACTAATCAATTTTTCTAACGCAAATCAATTTATCTAGAGACAACAGAATTGAGCTGAAGCCTAATTTTCCCTAGTCCATCTAACATAGTCTCTAAAGTCTCCTTCGTTAGCTCCACGTTCACAGTTCTACCATTTTCTCTTGTCACACCGTCCGACAGCGAAGAACTGTCAACCTATACAAAAGCACATATAGAATTATTAATGTACGTGTTAAGCGATGGGTAAAAAAAGTTGACTTTGATAACCCAGTTATGTTGTAAAATAAAGGAAACAGTAGGCCAAAATGGCGGCTTACAGTAGCCGAGGGGCTAAGCCGGAAAAATTCTCAACAACAATCTATAGAGTCTCAATTCAAGACTAAATTGAATGATTATTTTGGAATCTTATATTCTACTTTTACGTGTCAATCAATGAGTCAAGATAGTGAGCCATGACAGTGTTACTTCAAATTATATGAAAGCCCAACAGCACTTTAGTAGTGGCATCAAATTTTTAGTTAACGAAAGTTAACGAAAGTTTTTGAAGGTTTATCAAGGTAAAAACTCTAGTTATCAATGGCAAGTAGTGGTTTTGATCACGTTGAGCGCTATAAACATTGGCTTTGAGGGCGTTTTAACACTGTGAATGAAACTTTACTATGGTAAATCAAAAACCAGAGAAATGGTGCCTCGACGTTTTGGATATGGCCTGTAGATGTGTAGCAACACGCAGACTGGAAAAGTGGAGGGAGGATCTTGAATAAATATAGATAATATTGGAGAACTGAAGCAGCAAGCGATTGGATCTGCATAAAAGTATCAAAAATCGAACATTAATCCAAACCGTCTGACAAAATGCAAACAGCAACATTGGCCCTTCGCTTTGATACACGGGGCATAGAAAAATCTAGTAGTAGACATATTCAAGAGCTCCGGTGCAAGTTGGAATGTGAGGAAGCCAAAAGCAAATGAATGATTCACAACAGAAGATTTTGCCAAAAATGTGTTTGTTATGCCAAAAAGAGGGGAGCATACAAACTCCCTCAGCCCCAGGAGTCACAGAGTCAGTAAAAAGCAGCTTTAACTAAACAACAGCAAACAGACTGCAGAAAATAACATCTTTTTTGCAGAATTCTAGATAATTATTTACGCTGAACTCTAGCCATGACATAACGGCAAACTGGCGAATGACTTGTCATATCCTGGTGCTAATATGAAGCTTGATGCTTTGCTAGTTATCACTAAGCTTATTCTTAATCTTAATTATTTTTGCTCTGATGAAGCTCCGTATGCCGGGGCGAAATATAAGCCATTACTGATTTTTATGTGTGTTTGTTGTTGTTTATTCTCGTTGTTTATCAATAAGCTGATGTTTTAGAACTTAAAGTTGATGTTTCTATACCCTGTACAATCCTAGCCACAGCTAGTGACACGAACGTCTAAATGCAACACAAACAGAAGTATATATCGTATGGTATAGGAGAAATGACAATTACTGTTAATCGGCCTTTTATAAAGTGCTGGATGTCATATAGGCAAAGCTGTACACGCAATTAAGCGAAGAGCTGGATGGTTCTTATTTGCGACTCTGAGTTGCACACTTAGTGCAGTTACCAGGCCCATGCTAATACCCTCAGATTTTGCATTATCTTTTAGCAATCGACTTTACAACGGGACCTCTATACAATGGACATCATTTAGATCAGTGTTATTGCCCGTTGTATAGAGGTGTCCGTATCCGTTGTATAGAGGTGTCCGTTGTATAGAGGTGTTCGCTGTATAGAGATTCCTTTAAATGCATTTTGACAATTCGGAACAAAAACATATGCCCGTTATTGAAAGGTGTCCGTTGAATAGCGGTGTCCGTTGTTAAAAGGTGTCTGTTGTATAGAGGTGTCCATTGTTGAGAGGTGTCCGTTCTTAAGAGGTGTCCGTTGTTGAGAGATTTCCGTTAATTGAGGTTCCGCTGTCTACCCACTTTTACTAATACCATACCGGAGAACGCTGTGTTTTAAACAGACCCTTAGCTAAATGATAGATGCTTTAATTTCTAAAATGCTAAATGCAAAAAGAGTGAGCCTTACCTTGAGCTGAAGCAGGCAGGATGGAGCTGCCGGCCTCCCCGATGAACCAGTTTTGACATCAATGCGCCAATCGAAGTCAACCAGCCGGGGAAGAGAAACTAAGATTCAACAAAAAATCATCATTGACAGCTTTAAAGCCCAAAGAATAGAGTAAATCAGACTGATCTTGGTTCATATTTAAACAATGCATATGGTCAATTCAGGGTCAAAGTCTCTTGTTCAAGAGGTATATTGCTTGCATTTGAGGGAGAAAAGAGATTAAATATTTCATTTAAAAATACTTTAATTCAAATTTTTTTTAGAGGCACAAAATTGTTTATAAATAAACAATACAGAGTTTGAGGTATTGTAGCTCAAACCTGGAAACCTGCAGACAGCAATTAAAAATGATCTTTGATTGACTTACATCGCTGTTATCAACGCTCTACAAGTTCACCTTAAACTTACAGTTACTCATCATTTCTAGATAATGCCTGATGTGTATGACATAAAACAATATTGTGGTAGAGGGTGCTAGAATACACACAAAATGGGGCTATATCTGTAGGTAAAACAATCTTCATGGAAAACAATCAGATACTGAAGAAATATATCGCATAGAGTATTCCATACCTTGTTGATTGATGGTATCTGATCTCCAATTAGGCCTAGGATTAACAATCAAATATTAGTGCAACAGGGAAACTCAAGGCTGCATAAGGAAAGATGAATAGAATTTTGCATAAAAAAGCAATTGACGTATTTCTTATTGATGCATATTAATGTTTATTTCGTATACCTATGACACTATTAGAAAATTGATATTCAAACATGATGCGCGTGTTGGTATCAGAAGAGCTTTGCTACAAGTATAGCAAGGTACTATCCCTGCCAAAAATGTTGGGACATTAATTTTCAAGAGCAAATTTAGCCATCTCTTCTCCCCCTGGAAACAATGTTGGTTTTCAAAAAACGACCCGTGAGATTAGAAAGTATGCTCTTGTGTGACTTGTATGATATTTGCCTGAGTTGTCAATATTGTTGAGGGGGGCGGGTAAGGGAAAAGAATAGTGCTCGGAAAAGGAATAGCATGGGGATAGTATAGTAAAGCATGGCCTAGAGGTTAGTAAAGCATGGTAACAATTAATGACGAGTGATCCGTTAACAACCTTGAGTAGGCCTCTACGTCTACACATTTAATAGGTCAGCCCCCATAACCCCTGTTCCATGAAAGGTCATCCAAATACGCTGCAGACTGTTGCACCACCATTTCAGGCTGTAACATAGGTAAATCACTAGCAAAAGATTTGGTAATACTTTCAATAGGCATGCAGCACTGATCAGGGAGCCTCAACGGTCATGTGTTGGCGATTCTGATTGCTCTCCTAGCTTAAAGCTTTAGATTTATGTTCTAACATGATAAACTCTGAAGGGTTTTTGAGAAAAAAGTATTTGTAAAGCAATTTTCAAATTTTGTAACAAAAATTTTTTTCCTTCTTTCTATTTATAGAATAATGCCAGTGATTCGGATATACTGCACTATTTCCCAGTATACTCGATATTTCAGTAATACCAGAAATATTGCGGATAGCAAAGATAAGTAAAGTTTCTTCGAAAAGTCTTATGAAGAAAGAAAACAGTTGTTGCTTGATTTGAGCAATTACGTTGTAAGACAAGATGGGGCCTGGAGACTATGAATAGACAACTACTTATCACCTTAAAGGCCTAGGGCAAGTATCCTCACAAACAGGAACTTCTGTTAAATATGGAGCGCCTACAAGACTAACCCTTACATACTGGAATAAGGCGAAGTAACTAAACATGTGTCGCAATGCTTTAAGGTTTCAGGACTATAATTCTAGGGTAGGAGAAAGTTAGATTGAGTTAAAATGAGGATCGGAGCCGTGATTTCGAGGGTCAGGGCACCAAACAGCAACCGATTGGTACCTGATTGCAACAAGCAGGAAGATGGCGAACAGAACTGGCTATCATACTCTTGTTCCAGAGCAAATGCCCTCTCTCAGGTTACAGTTAATATTGAGTCGCTTTTAATTATTGCATTAAACTTTAAAAATATACATCAATATACAGAAAGAAAATCGCTAAAGGCTATCTTTTAAAAAAACACCTGGTGAGGCAATAAAGCTTTTCAAGGGTTCACAATACAATCTAGCCTCAGCTGCAGCCTAAAGTTGCATAACCCTGAAAATTTGACTGATGTCCTTAAAGAAAATTGGTTTACACAAAAGCACAGTAAGCAATGCAAATCAACCCCAACCAATTTGCTAAAAGGAAGTGACATTGGTAGAAAAACCAATACATTCGCTGTTGTTAGAAAAATCAAAGATAAAAGCTAGCAACGAAACACCTGCAAAATGTTTTCAAATAACCACGAAAGAACGACTTTTCAAATATTTCTCAGTTAAAATCAATTAGGGTGGGCTAAAATCGATGTTTTTTGACGTGCAGTGCAGCATGTTTTTGAAGGATAACTCTGGAAGTTGCGAAATAATTGGAGAATGATTGTATATCGTACATCGTATTAGTGTAACAATTTCATCGACAAAAGAACTTAATCTCAAAACTTTTGATGTCACACCAAAACGGCGAAAACATTAAAGTTTTTTCGATTTTTGAAGATAAAAACATGTGAATCACTCAATATTTCCTATCTTAGTCAAAGGTGGAGCTGGTATTTTTGCGTAAAAATACAGAGCTGGCGATTATGCGTAGATTTAATTGTGCACGGGCTGCGCCCCGCCCTGGAGATTTTGGTAATGAATGCCCCCCCCCCCCCAAAAAAAAAACTAAAAGGATAGAAAAGTCATGTTTAGGTTTTTTGAATTTATGCGAAACAAATTAAATGTGAAAAAACATTATTCGAAGGCTTTAGCACAGAATTACCCAATTTTGTCGAACATACTTCACCACACAATAACAGTTTAAATGCGATAAGTATAAGAGCTTGAATATGGCTTTAAATCACAAAAATCACATCATAAAAACAGATTTACATGTGGCGAAATCATCGATCGAACTGCTGATGTGATCTCAACTAAAAGCTGATTGGCAGAAATGAAGCATTTTGTCTTTTCGATCGAAAGCTGGTGATCGAGATTTAATCAAATAAGCAGGATTGAGTTTAAATTTTTCGTTCCAGATAAAAAATATACTTTTTGGAAGCAATGTCTACCAGAATAAAAGACAAAGGCGAGAAGTTCATGGTTCAGGCTACAGTAGTGGCAGAAAAAGCCTCCAGAGCAACAACTCCCAAAGCCATTGGCATTAAATTTCTCATGTGGAATTTCACCAAAGAATAACATCGTTCAAATAGCCTAGTTTGAACAAATTATTCACTTTAAGTGAAGCAATCTTTAACTTTTGTAGACCTTCATAGAAAGGTATATAGTTGTTGCAAATAGAAATTAAGAAAGTTTGACTTACATGCAGTCAGCAATTATCTTTGATAGAAGTTCCCTCAAGTTTTTGTGGAAGTCATCTAAAAGACAGAAGAGGAGAAAAGGAATGGTACTATGATACAGATGATACAAATACAACAATTTTTCGAATAATTTGTACGAATTTTATCATAATGAATTCTAAAAAACCATTCTGCAATGACTTTTGGGGGTCTGGTCAAGACAAAAGTAATGAGAGGAGTTTACATAGAAAGATCTCTGTCACAAATGCAATTCTATAAAAAAAGATGCAATTTCAGTGAAAATTCAAACCTACTGCCGTGCAAAGAGTGCCATATTCTCTTTTGCTTATCATGTTTAAGCATCATCCTTATTTGATTTTGAAACCAGCTGATTATAATTTCAAAACTATAAATTGATTATAATCACTTGCATATTGATTATGATCACATGCAAGAAATGCTAAAATTACTAAATATTGTAAAATATGAAACCTGGAAACAGTGAAAAAACCTCTGTTGCGCCAGCTGCTCCTTCAAATACGGCCATCTTTATCAATTCAGAGACTGATCCAATGAGCTTTAAATAAATGAAACTATCAGTTACAAAAAGACAAAACAATTAGCTCTACAATAGACATTACAAATGATAAACACAACATGCCTTTCCTGATGATTTTGCAAAGTGGTCCAAGATTCTAAAACATCAAGTTCAGCAGAATACATAATTGTAGATTAAGAATTAATTTTAAAAGAAAACAGAAATAAATTTCAGTCCATTGAAAAATTGAGTTTAACATGACAGGAAAAAGAAATTTACAAAAAAAATACAACATGCAACAAAATACTTTATTCTTCTAACAGCTAAAGGCAATCTTTGACTGCCAACAGCTAAATAAATATCAGTAAAGCATCATGAATTTCCAAATTTTGACACTTATTCTTCATCTGGTAAACACATTTAATATAGAAATATTTCTTGTTTTCAATAAGTCATGAAAAATCTTCATCAATCACCGATAATACTGATCAACCACAACTGTTTTTTTGTTTTTTTATGAGTATTAGTGCTGCTGTTTCCAGCTTGTATAGAGGCAAAAATTCAAGCTCTCTACATTTGAAACCTTGCTTTGAGCAAACGCAAGTGGGAAAAAACATTGAATCAGGCCTGACCATGTGAGGAGAGCCAATACTCTTCTCCCCTCCAAGCTCTCCTCAAACATCATAGGGGAGCTACAGATTGCCCTTCTAAATTGCTTTAAAAAGAAAATTGCTCTCCTTGAAATCAATTTTCCTTTGTTTCTATTTTTATTTACCTTCAAACACCATACCTGGAGAAGACAAGTAAAGCTGTTTACTGATCCTCTGCTAAACGTTCTATGGCAAGGCCTTCTTATATGGCAAAATTTCAAGCTCTGTACATTTGAACCCTTGCTTTGAGCAAACATAGTTGGGCAAAAACATTGAATGGTCATTCAACAAGCTAATGCAGATCACTGCTTATATGTTTATGAGCAACATCACATTAGAACTTCACAATTCGATTTGGATTAACTAAAATAATTTTATATGAGAATAAGCTTAATTGATATAAAATTACTGAAATACAGAAAACAAGCTTCTCTCTGTTTCCTTAATCTAGAATATCTAGTAAAAGATGCTTACCATTATCGCATCTTCTTCAGGAACATCAAGATCACTTGCAACCTTCTCACTAAAACCTTTAGGAACTACAAACAAGAAGAAAGCAAAATCAACTCCATATAATCACAATGTTGATATCAATGCTCCTTGGAAAAATTAATTGATCTGGATGCAATAACAAACAAAATGTGGGAGGTTCAGTGATATTCAGACTACTTTGAGTAAATAGCTCTACATATTGCTAAATGACAACAAAAAGTCTAATAACATTTATGAGATGCTCACAGACTTACTTTGAACATTGAACTTTGAGATATAAAGCATATCACTTGATAACAGGTTATGCTTGAAACTCCACCAATACAATTTATTCTTTTTTCCAACAATTTTATTAAAAATTCAAGTTAAATTGCTCATTACATTGTGCGACATGCATCTAGTATACCTTGTACTATGTAAAAGATATGAAACTGTGGCACTATATTAATTTATATATCATTACAATTTTGGAATTTTGAGACTTTTTAAATAAAGGACTGAAAAAAGCAGCCAAAATTTTTCAAAGAAGTTAACAAAATCTTCAGAGACTTTGTATAAAACAACTTACTGGTTGAATTAATGTGAGCAAAGCAGTCTTGGAGCAATTTCTTCACAAATTCTTTTGATGGTGCCTAAAGAGCAAAGATAACAAATGGTATAACTAAAAGCTTTCAAGTACTGACATTACTTAATCATAAATTCATATTTTCAGAAGTTTTTGCGTTTAGCATTAAGAATATAAAAAAAATTAAATATTCTTGCCTTGCATATCTTGCTAAGTGCAAAGATAACAAAAGCTTATTGGAATGCTTAATAAACTTTTAAAGAAAAGCAAAACATTACATTTACTAAGATGTAAAACCAGGTTCTAAGGTGTCTGTGGCTTCTATAGAACTTGAAAGTGAAGGGAAGCTGAGTAGATCATATAAGATGATTTAGTATCTGAATAAATAACTGACAATCTAGTAGTGGCATTTTTGTTTTGTTACTAAACCCTTTTTGGTAATATACACAGTGGCATCACTTGACCTTCCAGACTAGGGGGTCGGAGGGTCAACAATAGAAAATCTATAGATGGAGGCATTGATGGAGAAGAATTTAGATGTTTTATCACCTACTGATAGATGATTTTAGCAACAAACTAAGGATTTTGTAGACAAACTGAAGATTTACTGACAAATTCATGAAGTATTGGGGGTTGTTACACCCCCCCCCCCCCCCCCCCCCCCCCCCACTAGCTATACCCATGAACTTACACACCAATACAGACCTTCAAACCTCCCAAGCTTAAAAACCTGGATATTCGAAATTTTTCTTTATTAAAACCTGGAGATTTTGCTAAAAACCTGAAGATTTTGCGTCATGAACTTTTTCACCAAAAATAGCAAGATTTACCCATACACTCATTGCTGTTACTGTAAAACTGTATCCTGTATACTATAACTTAAACAGTTTTCACACACATTTTCTGTTATAGTTCAAAGTTGCTTTTTTCGCACTCTTCAAAACTTCTTCTTCTGGTTGCCATTTATAACAGGGAACCACTGATTCTTGGAATCAGTGGTTCTGGTTTGCATGCAAACATAGGAACTAGAAGCGGGACATGGGGCCGAGGGAGTTATTCTAAGCCAACCAGCCATGTCAGCAGCGCTTCGATGTGATTCAAGAACGATAACATAGAAGAGGGAAATTGTACATAAAATCATGCATAAAATTTGCAGGGGAAAAGCTGAATAAAATCTAAACATTTAGAAAATCGATGCATTGGTAAATTGAAAATAAGTTTTTGAAAAAACCGAGTGAAATGAACAAAAATTCGTGTGAACGTGAGATTGAGGCCAAAACCGTGAAACACACAGCAAAACCGTGAGAGTTGGCAGGTCTGCCAATATTAAACCTATTTTCACTGGGATTTTCTTTGTCTCAAGGCGTTCTTCCTGAATTTATTTGCTAATAACAGCAAGCTTAATTTGATGTAAAATCTTCACCATTTGCTTCTTTCAGCTTGCCTTTGTAATATATGACCAAGGAAAAATTTCACATGGGCGGAATCTTTGTCAGTGTCTACATCATATGCCCTATTCAATTCAATGCAGACTTTATTTTAGGTACTGGCACCAGAATAATAATCCTCAAATTTGCTAGCTTTAAAGATATAACTGCTCACAGTACTCAAAAATAATTGTTGGACTTGTTGGGTTGGGGACAGTAATGATTTAGAAAATTTCTGGTATGTTCAGAAAAATAACTGCATACAATTAAAAAAAAACACTCAGAAATGTATCTTTTTCTTTAATTTACCCTTGCCGCGGTAGCTTCATCATCAGAGTTTTGAATAGGTACAATTTTGGTTATAAGATCATAAAATAAGATTGCTCACGATAAAATTAAAATTTCATAGCTGAAGATGTTTCCAGCGGCAGTTGTACCTTTTCTTTCTTATAAAAGTAATTTGATTGTTTATCAGTATGTTACGTACCTTTAAGAGGAAATTCAGTTGTTCGAAGTTGCATTTTATAGACTTTTCTGAAACGTTACCGTCACTTCCATCCTGGCTGGGCGCCATCTTCTTTTCCGACCAAGGAAGTGAAACTGAAAAACGAGGCTATATCAAGAACAATAACCCACAACATAACGAGGCACATCTCGGATATACTGACCCCCTTCTTGTATCCCCCTCCCTCTACAATCTAAAATGCTAATAAAGCAGTCTCACGGAAAAGATGCTGGAAGTCAAGGTGAGCTTTAAAATAGATAAAAAAGTTAAAATAATTTTGGATAATTCCTTCGATTTCCTGGAGATCAAAATCTCTTCAGTGAAAAATTAATTGAATACAGACAAAAATCACCTTTCAGTATTCAACAGATTAAAAGTAACATGCTTATGTGCAGCTGTTAGAGACATGTTTTTAAAGTACAAAATTTTGAAAAATTACGTTTTATCCACTGACTCTTACTTGACCTTGGCATAAGACGTTGTGTCCCGAAATTTGGTGTGTTTAGAGCAAGCGGTCATTTGACGAAAGTGCTGATAAATCCCTCTTATGTTATGAAAGTTTTATGTCGATTTCATTAGCATAAAAGCGAGAGAAGTAGAAAGAATCTTTTAAGCCTGAGCGAGCATAATGGTCCGAAGAAAATTAGTATATCACAGTATTGAATCCTAGATTTGGTTTATACTGGGTGCAAAATTTGAGAAGGATAGGAATGAAAACGTCTTTTTGCCTGATTTCAGCATTGCCACACTTTATTTTGACGGATATGTCATTAACAATCTGACTGCAACTAATTTTAAGTCTGTCTCAGTTCCATACTTAGCAGACATGTTAGTAAAAACATATTTATTTCTTAGATCCTAGAATGATTGATTAAACTTAAAAATGTCAATCAAGCTCGGATATGTGATCTCAAATGGTGTCTGTAATCATGTAGACTTGAAAGAGCAAATTGTCAATCCTTACTTCAGTATCATAATTTCAAATTCAATTTATTCTACCATTATACCAAACAATCTAAAGAAAATTTTAAACAATGAATGCAACTATGATCAAATTACAAAATTAATCAATTCTTGACTTAATTATGCAATTAATTAAGCTTCAAATTCACCAAGCTTATAGAAAAAACCAATCACATCTAACGGAAATGCTGCGCAATCACCGAAAGATTTATTTGACTGAGGATCAGAAAAAAACTTCTTCCCCTCATTTCATCTCTTTCGCGTCCACTTCTTCTTCATCGTAACGATCTTCACTAGCGTATCCCGGGTTTCTTGAGGATCTGGTACCAATGGTGGACTTGCTACGGTGTATGGGTATTGTCGAGGGGCAAATTACTCTTAAAATGGTGTACGAGATTAATAATCGCTAGTGATTAATTTGTGATTGAATCAATTTTGTGTGTGATTAATTTGATTTTTAGTGATAAAGGTGATTAATTTGATTAATTTTTGATTTTTTAGAGACTGAATCAGATTCAAAAGTGCTCTGAAATAATTTCATGCTCAATAAACGTCGTCAACGATTTTGCAACACACCATATGAAATTGAAAAAGAAAAATTAGCAGTTCAGGACAGGGGTTGACCCAGAAAAAATTTGACCGTTGCAGATTTGCAAACGAAAAAGGTGCAAAAGTTTAAAAAAACATTAACAACTAAAAACAGAGATATCTTTTCTGAACAGCAGCATAAGCAAAATATTAAATCAATATTGTAGGTTGGTGACAGTAGCCTGAAGTGAAAAACAGTGAAAAGTTATTGATTACTTTGAATGAGACAAATGCATGTGAACTTTTCTGTGGGCCGTCAACTTTCGTCATAAGAATTTGAATTTGCATCAAAAGAGCTATCTTTCCTGAACATTAGCATTAGCAACATGGATCCAAATAGCCTGGAATGAAAAACAGTGAACAGTTGTTGAACACCTTGTAAAAGAAATTAAAGCAAATGCATGTTTTCTGTTCTGTGGGCTGCTATTTTCGTCATAAGAATTTGAATATGCATCAAAAAAGCTATCTTTACTGAACAGTAGCATTAGTAACATGGAGGCAAATTGCCTGGAATGAAAAACAGCGAAAAGTTGTTGATCACTTTGAATGAGACATTAAGACAAATGCAAGTGCTCTTTTCTGTGGGCCGTCAACTTTTTTCTAAAGAATTTGAATATGCATCAAAAAGCTATCTTTTCTGAACAATAGCATTAGCAACATGGATCCAAATTGCCTGGAATGAAAAACAGTGAACAGCTGTTGAACACCTTGTAAAAGACATTAAGACAAATGCATGTACTCTGTTCTCTGCCTCCGCAAGTGATGTCGCTATTGGGAAATTAAACTGTCATTCCTGAAACTTTTACCGATATAAAAAGTTACAGGTTCCAGAAATATGGAACTTGATTATCAAACTTTATCTGTAGAAATTACAAGAATCTGACATAAATCATTTCCCATAAATGTAACAGTTGCAACTGCGAAATCGTGAATTGTCTGGATCCACCTCTGTATCAATGAATTTTTCAATAACATATGCGGATAAAATTAGGCAAGGATTCTAATATTTGTTTTAAGTAACTTTTATGATTGATGTTATACTTTGTGATTAATTTGATTTTTTTATTAATGCGACTCATTTGTGATTATTCTTGAGAGCGTACGTGATTTTAAGCAGTGATTTGCCCCTCGGGTATTGTCAGTCAAAGAAAACGTGGTTTCTATTGATTCCCCTGAACGCACTTAGGGATCGTCTGACTGCTCTCTATGAGGGACCCTATTCTGTGCGAAATTTGTTACAATAAGTTAAGCAATTGAAGTCAAGCAAACGTGAATATTCAGCTGTTTTGTCTACCCGACTTCACTAACGATCTTTCCAGCAAAGATTGTTCGCAACAACAAATCACCACAAATTCAAAAGAAAGTCCCTCCACAGGATTGCATAAATGATTTTAAAATGCTTAATGATAAGTATAGACCAAGATAATCGTTCTTAGAAGACAACAATCACTTTTTGCAAGCAAACTCTGACACAGCTCAAACACAAGAATACTATTTGTTGATTGGCGTTTAAAGGCTCTTGCGCAACCGGCATGCTTAGCGGCAGCTGTCTTGAGAAATTGGTCGTGCTTTCTATTTTCATGCAGTACGATATTAAGCCGGTTTTAAAAATATGATCGCAAAGCATGCCGGTTGCGCTAGAACTTTTAAGCCAATGATAATCAGAGCTGTTTAGATTCCATACTGCTCGACCTGATGACGTAATAAGTTTGCCTTAAACCTAACCCTCACCCTAACCCTCTACTTGAAATAATTAATCATGCTAATTTATGACTATAAATCATGCTTATTTATGACTATCAGGTCGAACAGTATGGAAACTAGACAATTCCATGATAGTAATTGTTTGAAGCCTAACTATTTCATTCGTTGATCGCTTAGAAAGCGTATCCTGTCAGAGCTTGCGTATAATTATTTACAAATATTTGGGGTTTCCAAAGAAATATTTTATCTTGCTGATACTAACTATCACGCCCTCAAGAGCATCCAAGAAATCACCAGACGATACAGTGCTAGTTTCAGGCATAAAACATTCTAGAAATCAATTTTGATGAGAACAATTTCAAAAACTCACAAGAGCATTATGGATAACATCAAATCTTAATTTCAAGTAAAAGTAGAGTCTGAACAATCAAACTTAGGCTATAATTTATTACATACAAAAAATACATAGGAAGCGGCATGGGCGTAGTGCCAGGGGGCTCTGTTAATGCCGAAAAGTAGCCAATTTTCACTTTTGCTATCGTTTTTCGTAGTGTTTTGCGCAAGACCCTCCCCCTTGTTATTTTGACAGCACTACACCCCTGGGGAGTGGTCTGACTCAGCCTTAGCGTAGAGTACATTAATACAACTTGACATTTCCACAACATCAGACATCACCTTACAAAATACAGTCGACTTCAAAACGAATTCGTCAATACGATTTTGTATGTGCAGAAAAAATTCAATCAGAAGATTGAGGTGCTCGATGTTGTTACATCAAGTTCTTCATGCTACAGACCCACATTTCTCGTTTAAAAGAGTTCGCCAAAACTAGTTTAAACTCTATGGAAATTTTCTGCAAGATTAAAGTCTTTAATGAATATTTAACTTCACTCAGGCATGAAAAGAGTAAAACCTACACTTGCTTATGATACAAGCGCTTAAAAGGGGCACGCTTTATACTCTTAATGGTGTTTTCATTTAGATTAAAAAAATTCTGAGATCTTCTAGGATATATCCTAACAAGAGGGAATGAAAATAACGTTCAATTACTTGATAAAAAAGGTAAGAGATGGCTCAATTGTACCATTAACAGAAATGCTATCAATGCAATACTCAACTTGCATCTACTGGACTATTGCTATCAACGTATCAATAGCCACTTTGTTATACAACAATATAATTCGATCAATACTCATAGATTATGATAATTGTGAAAATTTAGCTATAAAGATATCAATGTTATTATAAAAGGTGGTGGAAAGGCCTTTCGTACAGAAAACCCAACTCAAAGGCCTTTATGCACTTGGTCTTAAAAATAATTTTTTTTATGAGTTAATAATTATTGCTAAAACAAAATCGTCGGGCAAAAATAGTTGTTAAAGCCGGAAATTCTGAAACACATATCATGACATGATGCTATTGATTTAGGTTTTTATTCCAAACAGAAAAAGAGGAATATTAAGTTTTCATATAAAACATAAAAATATAGATTTACAGCTATTTCCGCTTGATTACAAAATCTAAAGTTAACACATACAGCCTTATTCTAAGCAAATCTACTACCAGCCTTCTCCAAACTGGTAAACCAATTTCTGTCGTGGTTTTCTCAAAATCCCTCTATTTTTATAGCACCTCAAGGAACGTGCAAAGTTCTCATATTTCATATGAGGTCTATTTTTCCGCTTTCCCCATAATTTTGCTACGTGGTTCGAGTCCAAAAACTTGAACATCCGTTCTTCTTTATTAACCCACTGAACACATGGATATCGATCAGGCTGCTCCAGAAGCTCAAGCAAAAATCGATACAGCCTCGGACCACCCGACTTCTTCTGGGTCCAGTCTTTTGCAGAACCCTGCGAAGCATCCGGTTGACTAGAACGAAATCTGCCATTATCATCCTCACTGTCGCTGACACTCAGAGCACTGTCGGTTTCATCAATTTCTCTTTCGGTTTCCAAAGATCCGGATGATGGAGAGGCAATCGGTGGCGTTTCTGAAACGACTGACGACCTTGAAATCACGGTCGGTTTGCTCCCTGTTATACTGTCAGCTGTCGTTGGCCTAGCAACAGCAGAAACCTATTGGTTGAATTGGATTGTTTAGATATTTATTTAGGCCACACATACACGAAATGCCAATCTTTAACGATAAAAATGTACACTCATTTTTTCATAAAAAACTGGCTATAAGAAACGAGTACCGGACAGTCAGAGCAAATTAAGAAACTCCAGCACTCGAAGCAAAAAAATTAAGAAACTATTAAATCGTTCTAAAACTGAGAACAACGACAATTTGTAAAATCCAAAACATGATTGCCCTGGTGGCCTAGAATTTAAGACACAAGGGACAAAAATAAACTTCCCACATCTAAAGGGCGCATCTGTAAAACTAAGGCGGGTGTCACAGTAGAAAATTTATTCTTCTTCAATCTGATGTGTTAAACTAGAGTACTAGGGTCTAGTTGTACATAAAGTTTTAGAGCTGCAAATTATGGGTTTTCGAAGGTATTCATACCCCTTAATTACATCATTCATGACATCATAATTGAGAAAATCTTAAGAAACAATGAGGACTCAGCATCGACCTTTGTTTCTTATAAAAAATGAGTGCATTCAACGGTGAAAAGTTCCTTTCTAAGGAGGGGAGGGGCACTCGACTACCTACTGTACTTGAAGCAGAACCTTGAAAACATGGAGGTCAAGCAGCCAAAGACTTTGAGAAAGGCTAAAGAAGACAAAAGAAACTAAAGTACCATGCTCAAACCCCCTTCCTTTTTTTGTTTTTCAGTATGATTTCAAAAACTTGAAAGAGGAAAGGTTCCCAAAGAGGAAATTAGTGCGGAGGAAAGCTGGGCACTTTTCTAGACTCCGTAAGATGAAATAATATCATAGCTTAAAAAGGTTTAACAAGCCAAGAAAGAAAAAGAAGAACAAGCATTTAAAGAAAAAGAGTGAAAAGAAGAAAATTTAAAAGTAGAAGACTTGAAGGAAATCAAGACAACAAAGCCACAAAGGAAGACTTGAAGGAAAGAAAAAACAGAAAAGAAGAAGTCTTGAAAGAAGAAGACTTGAAAGTACACAACTTGAAAAACAAGACTTAAAAAAGATGTGAACGTAGAAAGTAGACATGAAAAAGAAAAACTGACAAGACGAGGAATGTCTCATTTATTAGAAGACTATCGGCTTTTCTTCTCCACCTGGGAGGCATAAAAGGACGCTTCAAGACAATGGTATTTTGATGATAACTCGGAGCTTCGTTACTTTAATTTTTATTTCGATATGTTTTGGCAGCAAAACTTTCTATCGCAAGAAGTTTCCCCCGTTTTCAGTAACGTCGTCATCAAAAGATAGAATCAATTGAAAAAGGAACTAGTCTTTTAAGTTACTTGCCTTGAAAAATTTGATGATTTATATAAAAAAATCAAAGCGTTTTATTAAAGGGGATTTTTATTCCATTTGCCCCGTCTACTAGAGAGTAAGGGGGCACATGCGTCAGTGCCTTTCTCTCCGGTGCCCCTGAATGTCTGGAAACTTCTGGAAAGGCCCCCTAATTTCCTGTCAAGCGAACTAACAAATTGGTTTTGGAGTTTCGAAAAGGTATTGCGTGAGTTATTGAGATCATGCTCTTCGTCATTTTTTCTTTACAGAAGTTGATTTCGTGCCCTTTCGAGTCAAAAATGCTTCATTACCCCTAATCATGATTTTTCATTGCAACATCACTCAAAAAAAGGCCACAAGGCTGCATTATTCATAACACAACAATCAATAAAGAAGAAATTGTGAGCATTCAATGAGCCAGCTAAATGTAGGCTTGTCGCACCCTGCGGTTTATCTGCGAGTTACCCGCGTTGAATTTCAGCCGAAAAACAAATCAAACAACATACCTTTTGTTCATATCCTCCCGCAAGGGGTGACGTAATTCCTACAGCTATGCTCTTGGCAGAATTTGGTAGAGAGCAGATCCTATGCTGCTGGAAATCGGGCCTTTCCTCAATTGGCATTGCCCTCTCCACTTCGAAAGACTTGTTATAGATTTGGTACTCAACACCCTCGTAATGTGAGATTGAGTCTCCCATTTGGAGAACTCTTTGATGCTTTGGATAGTAATAACTTACAATAACATGGCTTTTTCTCACTTTATCTGAATTTGCCTTCTGCATTTTTGGTAACGACGATACCGGTGACTGCAATAAACTAGTTCTGAAACCATCTCCATTCGAACCTATAAGACCCGGAGAAACTTGGTTCCTGGAACTAAAACTTCCGGGTTCCGCAATTCTATTCGGGGAATTAGTCACGCAAACGTCATGCGTCTTGTCACTAATTTTCCGCTTGAATTTAACATCGTCTGCTTCATTAATACAGACAGTAAGAGGGTTATACTTTTCATTTCTAATATCACCATGGGGTGAGTTTGGCGAATAGTCTCTAAAGAACATCAAGCTGCTCGTCTTCTTCACGTTGTCGTAAATTCGCGATCTCTCGTCGATGTTTTTAAGTACATGAAGACTATTCCCTGTAGCAAAATGCTCCGATCTACCACCATGAAAAGTCGGCCTCTGCTCGTAAAAAGAGCCTCTGTCCTTTACCATGGTTTCTGACAAACCATATCTCGAAGTAGGGTTATAATCGTCACTAAACCTGGGACTTTTCGGCTTTTTCATCAAACCATCTGCTACCTTCGGGGCTAAGTAGCTTTTTGCCGGGTAGCAATTTTTGCCCAAACCATAGCTTATACACTCTTGACAGTTGCATTGTGCAGGGCTGCTTGACGTTTTACTTTGTAAATAAAACTGTTCTCTATCGACCTCGCGATTTATGGACTGAACTTTACTACTCGATTGCCAGTTTCCAATTAGTCTAGGGGATTCTTGCCGCTGAAAGCCCTTTTCGTTTTTAACAAGGGTAGGGTCGCCTGCAGCTGAGAATGAAGTTTTTGTTGAAATATATTTGCTTGCATAGTCCGCATTAGCTGCCAAGTCTTTTTTGCCTATCAACCGGACCTTTTGAGCGTCAGATTCCGGGCTACGCTCGACCAACCTAGGTAGCTTGCTACTTGGCTCATAAGCTGTACCGGAATCATAAGTCACTGGTGACCGTTTCATCTGGAAAAATTGGTAACCCGGAGTTGTTTCAGTCGTATCAGAGTGTAATTTTCTAGTTTTATCAACTCTTAAATGCTCCGCTTGTCTTATATGTGTATCTCTTCCTTCCCCTAGCGTCATATTTAACCCCCCAACTGAATCACCATATGAAACAGTATTATCAGAGGCTCTTGATGTTTTGTGAACAAGAACAGTCTTCCTTGTCTCTTGGGTGCTAGGCACATTAGGAATAGTGTGAGACCGGCTGTTTAGAGACTGAAGACCGACATATTCGGTACGGTCTTTCGGTGATATTGAGCTGTTTCTATCAAGGTCAGAACGATAAGTGTATGTTTCATCTTGTGTCCTACCTCCTTCCGTTCTCGGTCTAATTTCTAAAGATGAATACGGGACTTGCTTGGAGCTATTAGTCCACTGTTTCAAATAGAGATTTTTAGGCTCATTGCGCAATACAGAAGCAGTGTTGTTTTGTTTACTGTAATGCCCATTTTCATTGTCTTGGCCTAGTTCTGAAGGCCTTAAGCTTGTAGTTCCTTTGCTTTCAATCCTTCCTTGATTTGAATTCATAGATGGTGCTACCGGCCTATTCGGAGTAACAAAAAATAATCTTGGCTGCACATTAGGCTTAGCAAATATGGAATTTGATGCTCGTTCCGATCGTCCAGCTTCCCTGTCCATAGATTGGTCATTTCTGGTCACATTCGATGCAGTCTGCCGAGCAAATGGCAAGCAGTCTGAGCTTTTTGGAAATCTGTTGGACCGACTTGAGCTGCCTTCTTCACTCTCTCGACTTGACTCCTCACTTTTTTCTGTCTCTGCTGCCGAATCCTTGTTCATTGACATTTTCAACTTCAGTTTTTGTATATCCTTTTTGAAATTCAGGATTTTCTTGTTCAGTGACAATGGGGATGTATCAGAAGCACTTTGGCGGTTAATTTGACCAGCCGGTGTTATAAACCTTATTTTATGCGAATGGTTGTAAACGGAGTCTGGTAAAAAGAACCGAACTTTTGAAGCGTTCCCCTTTTCCTTAGACTGCATGTTACAAATTCTCATTCATTTTACGATCTAGAAGTATAGAAAAGCAAAAACTGCATACCTTTTCATGTAATACAGAAAAATATATTTCAGGTTTGTTACAATGGATTAGCCTTAAATGTGTGCAGGGGAAAAAAGTGTAGGAGACAATAACAGATCTAGCTTTGCATAATAAGAATAAGTAAAAATATGGTGACAATTGTACTTATTTGGAATTTTTTGTGTTAGGAGATCCTTGAACCCTAGAAATTCCTGTCGCATAGAAAAACATAGTTTTGAGCCTAGAGATATTTGATAGAAAATGTGCAGCTGGAAAGAAAAGAAATTAATTTGTTTCTTTCTTTGGGTTTGATATGCACAATTGTAAAACATCTGCAAATCAGGGCTCATTTATAATAGGGAGCAATTTATAGTCATAAGTTGCACCCTATAAATTGAGAACCTCCCTGTTACGCTCAGTGCTGCTACACCAACTTACGTTTGTCAAAAGCATATACCTTATCAATATCATCATGAACTACATGTAACTACATGTAAAACTGAACAGATGACATAATAAATGCTACCAGTTTTTATCTGCGGGTTGTTTTGGGTTGTCAAGTAGCCCTATCGTTGTTATCGAATTCATCAAATAAAGACATCTTCAGTAAAAACGCTTTTCAATATCATAAAAGCTTCACTTTTAATGAAGCAGTTTTGTTTACAACATCTTCTTTCACGGTTTCTAAATTTTAGGGTTTTACATTCGCTTCCTTGGCAAAGGTTGCAAGAATTTCCATATTACACTGGGCTTTTCTCATTTCAAAGATATGAAAAATAGCCATCAAAGGTTATTTTCCCGATTACTTTCATTGAAATGTCTTATTATAAGAAGCATCTTATTAGGATTCTGTTTTTTAGCTTTGAGTTTATCATGCTTGTAAGATTTGCTACTTTTAAAATGAAAGTGCTGTCACTCCAAAAATTGACGAAATAGAGGCTTGCTTATGTTTTTCACTAATTGTCAAAAAATTTTGTTTTAAATGGATAATTTGGAAGTGTACCATGAAATTTTGATCAAATACGTCAAAAATCGATGGCTACCAGGTTCAAATGCTTGAAGACTTTAACTTAAGGGAGTGTGCTTTTTTCAGCCTACCATGCACGAGTGAGTTTTACAATAGTTGTTAATCATATCTACCACCAAGACATAATAGAGGAAAAGAAACAAAGAGCAAACTTTATTTTCAGAATCAAATGGTGCCTTAAGAATAAGGACCTTCTGTCATTTTAGTAATATAGACTTGCAACTACTACCTTTTATACTCTATTTGACCATTCAATTTCAATGGCAAAAAAGATGTTTAAAGAAAACATGACTGTAATACAATAAAGGCAAATAAAAACAGATTCAAAAATTCCTGAATATGAATTTTGTGCCTACGAGCGCTGCTCGTGCGCTTGCGCAGATTAATAAGGTCTGCTGCAAATACTGGCAAAAAAGAAGACACAACTAAGATCAGGAAGTGAATTTGTCTGTGGTTGAACAAAGCCAAATGTCTCCTCGTTTAATTTCATGATTTAATCAATGTTCTGGTTTGCAAAAATTGATAAAAAAGATCTGAAAGACTTAAGTAGGGTATGGCGACCGGCTGTTGCCCTTTTGTCAAAGAAACTAAGCCTCAGGTCAAACAAAATCTTCAATTTTGGTAAATTTATATGAAAATGGCTTTGAAAAAAAGCAAACATTTTACAACATACTAAAAGCTTTTTCGTCTGACACTCCTCAGAGCATAAAACGTCAGAATAGGTTCCGAAAAAACACGATGGGAAAATATATACCCAGTTGTGGATCGAAATAGGCCAACCAGAAAAACGCAAGCACAAGACCGGTATAGTTGACCAATCAGTGCCGCGAGCCTAAAGAAAAATTACCAATGGAGTCCAAGAGAGAAAACGAACTCCTTTTGTCTACACAATGGCGGCTTTTTCGGTTTTATGTAGATTGACTCCAAAACTGCTAGATGGAAGGACGACCGGGCTCTGCCAATTATCCGAAACATGTCGTCATTATAGAGTTTTGCACAATCTGGGTTGTCTAAAAGATGTTGACCAATGGCAGAATCACTTGTTTTAACAGTGTTTCTAGACCTACAAGATCGAGGAGGCTGTTCTCTTTGAGGGGCAGTTTTGTTTCGTATGTTGGAAGGAACATGCTGTTTTATCCTATCCCCCAATCTTTGGGTTGTGCGTCCTACGTAGCCAGAATCACACTGGCACGTAAATTCATAAATGACGGAACTTTTTTGTTTGGTAGGAACGCAATCCTTTTGAATGGATGGAAGGGCTCTCCTAGTGCTGTAAACAATCCGAGGATTGACAGCAAAGAAACATTTGGTTATGGCTTGCCTAATCTGACTCTCGAATCGCAAGGAAGTGTTACCAATCCATGGTAGTTTCAAATAAACTGGGCACTTTTGCGGACCAAACTTTTGAACAGCCGAAAAACTTGCGATCTTCTCCTTAGTATAAGATAAAATGACGTCTTCAGGATAGCCGTTGTCCAAGAAGATCGTTTTGAGTTTTTAGTATTTTAAAGCTTTTAGTATGTTGTAAAATGTTTGCTTTTTTCAAAGCCATTTTCAAATTCTGTACCGCAAAAGAATTGTTCATATTCTTCGTATGTTAATACGGAATCCTAGCGTTAAAGATGACTCTTAAAATTCAAAGTGAAGGTTCTGTTTTGAAGTTTTACTAAGTTAAGCAAAAGCAACTCTTATCTTGTTGAATTTTTTATCGTTGTCTAACTATCGATCCACTTGCAGCATGTTCTTTATCTCTCTTGTTTCCATGAATCTGTTTGACAATAAGCTATCATTTTGGTCCATCTTTTGATGTAGGTCATTGTAAAAGAGTCCTTGTTTGAAATGAAAAAATGGCTGCCTCAGAGATATGCTAGATGACACTAATGCAAGAATTGTTAAGAATTTTTTCTTTTTGACCAGGGAGACAATATAATAAATTTCTACGAAGTTACATCAGAAGCTAAAGGCCTTACGCGTTGTAAGTATGAACATGTTTCTTTGTGCAAGAATTGGAAATGCGATGCATCTAAAACTCGTCTAAAACTATGGATGATAAGATATTTTTAACAAATAAACTTTATTCCTGAGATCAATGTTTTTAGAGAAACTTTAGCTGTCAGTAAGCCACTTTTTAGCAGGTTGATTTGTATGAAGCTGCGTCGAGTTGCGAACCAAGGTTTTGAAAACCCAGAGTTATATATCACTTTCATTACGGAAAATGATTAGCAGTGGCTGAAACGAAGTCAAGCAGTTATAAGGAAAAAACGAAGTTGTTTGTGATTTGGTTGTTGAGCTAGCTTTTCTTATCTTATGGCAATGATACAAGCGTATTTTATATATTTTCCAGCGTCATCAGACAGCTTGGATACACAAACAATAGGCATGGCAAGGGTTCCTAAGAGAGCACTTCACCTAATGGAAGCAGAGGTGAACAGATTGATGCAGCTGACAAAGAACGCAATTATTCCGATCAGTTTCGTTGTACCTAGAAGGGTAGGTGCTGCAACGAAACTTGACTTATCATCTTATTAGAATCATGTCGTCATCTTAACGTGCTTCCTAGAAGAGTATGTATATTCAATGCAGCATAGTGCAGCATCTAAGTATGGTTTTCCTCGTGCATTGCAAAATACCGTCTACTTTTGGAACAAGAAATGCCTAAAGAGAATGACTAATAAAAACTGTTTTTTTCTGTCATATAGTACTCGATGCCTTCTGGGCACAGCTTTACTCGCCGTATAGTATACGCTTTTGGTGTGCAGAAAAAGACAGTTCGAAGTTGCAACTCCGCGTTTCACGCTTAATACGCTCAACTGTCAACTGTTCAAAGAGTGGCTAGATGTATCAGTTGCTAAGGATTGGGCTGCACTTTTTAATTTAATTATATCGCCTCTTTTTTGTCTCGGCCTGATTTCTTATTTCATTGATCGACTTTTTTTCAGTCCTACCTCGATTTCCATGCGGAATTGTACCCCGATACGGCCTCTGGTGTGCCTTCTATGACAGCCGAGCAATGGTTTGCTGGTGCCAATCACCCGGTAATGATGCACCCTCCTACCGTACTTTAGTTCCCCATTTTGTCAAATTGAAACAAAGCTGTCCTGGCTGCTCATGGCGATTATGGCATATCAAGAACCATTCTATATTCATTATCCTTTAATTTTTGTTGATTTCTCTTTCAACCCAAACTTTTTCCATTTTAATCCCAGTGTGTATAATGTGATATTTATTTAATCTGCTTCTGCTAATTTCTGTGTAAGCCTCACTACTGTCATTAATTTTCTTTGGTACAACTCTTAATGTTCTTAAATTACCACTGTTTTATCACAAGGCAATGCAAAATTTCATTGGCGGAATTAAATGCCCCACTGTTTGAGCAGAATCTCGTTGTAAACAATATTCACATGCTCGTCAGACAAAACAGATTTTCCGGCTTCTGATCTGCTTATTTAAATATTATTAAACAGGGTTTTCATTTTTAGGTCTCACTGGTTAAATTGGATCCAAAAAACGTGGCGAAAAGGTCGCTACCTAAAGCAGCTGGCGTGAAGGCTGAGCCATCCAAAACAGAAGTGAGTAATTACGATAATATTTTTTAATTCAGAAAAATGATGCTATGGAAATTCCGAGAGGCTAATTGCATGTTTGTGCTCGAAACATCGTTTAACCCCTGATCTTTTTAAAATTTTTGTATTACATATCATGAAATTTTTATCATTTGTGAATAAGTCATGTTTTGGGCCCAAACTAAATTCAGTTGTGTAGAGGCAATGCAATTTTAAAACAAGAGAAAGTTATGTTTATTTTCCATGAATTTATTTTAAGATAGACATGCGATTTTTCTTCAATATCCACATATTCCCAGTTTCGTTATCCTTTCGTTATCAAACATTATCCTTTTCCAGTAAATGGCTCATCTCAAACATTTTTCTCCGGACAGTTTCAGTAGAGTTGCGCCGACCTGACTTGGTGCACTGGCAAAATTTTATGTTTTACGTACAGCTATAAAAATAATGTCTGTTTGGACGTAAATCGTCCTTAAAACAAATTTTGCCTGAAAGCATAAAAATTGTTTGCTGACGAAATTGCGTTTGTGATCTTTTTTTTGCTTTTCTCTTAACGGAATAAATGCAGTTTTTAAATTATCTTGAAAACGGAAATTTCAGGAAAAATCGCAAGAAGAAGCTGAGACAAAAACGGCACAGGTGCCTGAAGTTGTCAACAAAGCTGAGGACCCGCCAAAGAAAGTTGAAGCTCCGAAGGAGGATTCAACGAAGGCTGTGCCAGCACCTTCAAAAATTTCTAATGAGCCAACACCAAAGCCCGCTGGTAAGCTGAAGTGTTGTTATGAGTCAATTATAAATATACATGACATTAATTGCAGAGGTGAAGTATTTTTTATTCTTTATTATATGTTATGGTGGACACATATAAGACAAACTAGAGTGATGTTTATTGCTCGATAGTGTAATTTCCCAACCACGCGATCCCGTTTGCCATGGAAATCAGGCAATCTAAAGCTTAGACCTCTTTTGAAAAGTTTGATCGCATCTTGGCTTTGGGGAGTATAGGAAAAATGGCGTTTATGGGAACCATTTCAATATTAGGCTTGGTAGGACATCCGAGGATATACAAAAGGGATATTTGATTATAATTTACCCCTGCCTTGTTTGTTTTCCATTGTAGAGCACAAGCCCAAAGTCTCAAAATTCCACGGGTTCAGGGTCTCGAAATTCAAGCATCTGAGTGGCAAACCTAGCACTAAGTCGCAGAACATCGAGAACCTGAAGAACTACGATCAGTCACTCTGTCATGAAAGTGATGGCCTCCAAGCTTACTTTGATTTAGTTGCGTATCCTATAGCTGGACCTGGTGGTCAAATTGCTGTGGTGAAGGTACGAAATTGCTGTTTATATGAACTGGAAAACTGTTGCTTAGGCCCTGTTCCTGCATAGCATTGAAGTGATAAAGAAATTGTTATTTTGCCTAAAACATAGTTACGATTAGCAAAAGGCTTGTACCACGGTAAAGATTCAGGTCGTTCTTGTTAAGATTTGGAGTTGTTTGTGTTTTCACTTTTTTCTGTTATGGGTAGCCGAATAATTTATGCCTTTTTCTTGTTTTAGCTCTCTGAGCCAAAAAGACTTCCCGATACTGGTTTGCCTGTGCTGCAGAACCCATCACCTCTTCTTGATTTTTCAATGGATCCCTTCGATAATCATTTAATCGCAGCAGGTTCGTCCCTTTCGAGCTTATTTTACGCCCTTCTTTTCTCTGAGTATCTGAGCTCCAGTCAGGGACCTTAGTTTCCTAAGTAAATTATTTGGAATGTTATACTTTTTATTCTTTATTTTATTCGTTTTTTTCTTTTTGTAGCTTGCGAAGATTCTGTTGTTCGCATCTGGAAGGTGCCAGAGGATGGGCTCGTTGAAACAATGGATGAACCAGCTGCTATTCTTGCTGGTAAGGTATTCTTCTTGTCATCAAGGAGTACTTCTTGCAGGAAGGCACTTTTAAGAGAGATTGATATACAACATTTTCGAAATGGGCGTTTTTCTGGTTGTGAGGTTTTCTTAGCCCTCACTATGCTGCTTTTTAAGTAGCTATTTTAGAAT